GCTTGCACTGTCTTCACAGTCATGCCTCTTGTTGCCGCCACGGTGTCATTCCATCTTGCTGAGATTCCTTCCCTTTCTTGTTGAACTTGATTTCCAGGCATGATGTCCTTCTAGGATTGATCCTGCTTGTAAACATTATCAAACAAGGTGAGAGGAAGGCTTGCCATCCTTGCTTCTAAGGAATAGTCTGGCTGTCCTCTTCCAAGACAAACTTGTTTATTCTCCTGACAGTCCATGATACTTTTCTATATTCTTTGCTTATGAGGGAATACACCAGAAAGAACGGAATTGCGCTGGGCAGAGCGGAGCTTTTGTAGGTATGCATTTTTCCAGCTAGGCGAGCATTGAGCAACTCACTCTGAGTTAGTGCACCCAGTGGCGTCACCTGGGAAGGTTCTCTCTTATCATAGTGAATTTTCTCATAAAGCAGTTTCACTTGAACCTTGTTTTTTGTGAAGGCTGATTTAAGAAGACAGCATGTGGCTGTGAAGTTCTGTTTCCTGGTCAGGAAAAATGCTACAGAAACTTGTGATGTTGAACACAGCTTACAAAGACAGCGCTATGGGGGAAAATTTAATCGTACGAGTAATTTTGTCATTTCAAAGAAGGTGAAATGTCGATTGATGACAAATCTCATTCTGGACATCCGTCAACTTCCTGAATGGACAAAAATGTCAACTCATAGTGCATTTGGAGTTCGTTCCGCCAGGTCAGACTGTTAATCAAGCTTTCTATTTAGAGGTTCTGAAAAGATTGTGTAGCAGTTTGCAACAAAAAGGGCCTTATTTGTGTCAGACGGGGGACTGGTTTTGCCACCATAACAATGCACCTGCTCATGCAGCCATCTCAGTGCACCAGTTTTGGGCAAAAAACAGCATGCCTTTCTTGCCCCATCCACCTTACTCGCCTGACCTCGCTCCATGCAGCTTCTCTTTGTTTCCAAGAATGAAGAGGGACATGAAAGGACAGCAATTTGAAGGCGTAGAAGAGGTGAGGAAAAAATCGAGGGAGGTGCTGTCAGCATCCAAACAGATGAGTTTGAAAAATATTTTCAAGAATGGAATCTCAGGTTTGACATATATATTAGGTGTAATGGAGAGTGCTTTGAAGGTGATAAGGTGGTTTTGTAAAAAAAAAAAAAAAATTAAATACGTAGCTTTGAAACAAACGGGTTGTACGCCATAATTCAAACGCAGCAATTCTTCAGTCTTCCTCGTTCCCTATTCAGCTTTCACGTGCATATGAGGTGATGAAGAGACCTTGGCGGGTCAGGAGAACCTTGTCCTCAAAGTGACATTTGTTTTACTTTCAGCACTTTAACAAGGTCCTTTGCAGCATGTTTCCCGGTGCCATACATAATTTGATTTCTTGACTGCTGCTACCATGGGCATTGAGTGTGGATCTGAGTAAAACAGCTGTGATAGTTTCTCCATTTATCATGACAGTACTTGTTGGTGCCGTTGTGTGCCTTGTGTTGAGGTGTGATCACAGTGGAAAGTGCGGTCTCTGACCTTCATCAGTAGGTGCCTCACATCCCCTCTGCGTTCACCAAGCAAGTTGTGTCGTCTACATCTCACAGGTTGTTCATGAGCCTTCCTCCAGTCACGAGGCCACGTTCTTTTTCCTACTGTCCAGCTTCTCAGATGATTTGTTCGGCCTACAGTTCGAGTAGTACGGTGAAAGGATACAGCCTTGAAGCACAGTTTTCCCTGCAGTATCTCCTTGATCTCATCCCATAGCTGCCTCTTGGTCTCTACAGTTGCATGTTCAGGAACTCTCATTCTTTGCAATGTTGGCCACTGTCTGTCAGGAGACACCCTGCCAAAGGACTTTTCATAGTCAATAAAACACAGGTAAACAGATTTCTACTAATCTTTGCTCCGCCAAGATCGACCGTAAACCAGCACTGATATTGCTTGTTCCATGTCATCGTCTCAGTCCTGGTAGTTCTCTGGCAGTATATGCTGCAATCACTTTTGAATTATTTTCAGCAGAAATTTTACTTACGAGAGATCTAAATGACAGAGTTTTCAATAATTTTCAGTTGGT